TGTCTTTATGCAGAAACCTATCAAACACTCTTTTGGCAGCAACAAAGATCACGACATTTCTTGTACATTGTGATCAAAACTGACAAAACGTACACATCATCAATCATCATTGAATTTTGACTTTAACATCTGCGCATGAATTTTTTTTACCATGAGCAAGACTCACAAGACCAACTTAGTATGTTGATAATATTTAAAAGAGAAGTTTTCAAATCTATCAACAGAATCACAAAAAATATTTAATAAATCAGAATAAACAATACATTAAGAACAAACATACAAAATTAAAAACATTTCAATGTCTTTTGAGTTACTATAATTAAAATTTCACATACCAAAATCACTTCTTGAATATGAATCATTTCCTTTGCCTTCAACACTTCCGCTTGGACTCTTTCTGAGCTGAATGTTATTACAGATTGAGATATGAATTGTAGTGTATTGAAGATTTTTTGGTTTTGATTCACCAAATTCTTGGATCATCAATGTAATGGTGATTTCTAATATTGGGGATAATTGTGGCGTGAATTAGGGGCGGGCTAAGAGGAGTGTTTGGAGGCTTGATTTCAGCTTTTATTATATTAACTAAGGGATTTATAATATTTTACATTTTTATTTATACTACATGTATTGCAGTATATTTGGCGAAAAAAGTTTGATAATATAAAAAAATAATTTTTTATAAATTTTATGTACCCGATGACATTTCCACTTTATTTTTTTTAGCTTAATTCCCTTTTCAAACCTGGAGAAACCCACTAGTCCAATAACTCATTAGCCCAATCGACACCCCATGACCCATTTATTGATTTACAACCCATTCCCCTCAATTGAATCAATTGCTTCGATTCATATTTCATTCAACCGTCCGTACTTCGCTGCCTCTCCTCTCCGCCTATTAGCCCGCCGTGTCCTTCTCCGATTGGCGCCTCAACCTCCTCCTCAATCCTTTCGTAACCTTTGTTGTCCAACCTCCGTTGCAGGCAAGTGGCAACGCATTGCTCTGAGGCACTTTGTAGCATATATATTCGCATAGGTGGCTATCAACTTGGAGAAATTGAGTCAATGCTCTTTAAGATCCTATAAAAAATAATAAATAATTGATCTTTTACACAAACGGCATTGAAACAAGAATGATTATATAGTATCATTACCCGTAATTGTATATAAAGGTTTTGCCAGCACACCAATGAATTACAACTTCTATTGTAACAAATAAGCTATATTTTTAATCTATGTTTGTTATGCAGTATTCAAAGTGTAAATTATAATGCACAAAAAATTTAGAACTTACTAACCTAATTGAGATTTTGCTGAAAGTTCAGTGACTGAAGATGAAATTTACTTTTTACTAATCACTTTAAGGGAAGCGACGAGGGTGAACATACGGCGTCGTACTTGGGAAGAACTTCCTCCTTCAACTGCCATCTAGCCAGACGTGCGTTATCTCCTTTTCGGTTTCACACAGTAACAAGAAACGAAAATGAACACTCTGAGCTCAACGTGTCTCTGTAATGCTCGCATATTGAAATTTCCATCAATCTCTTCATTTCCCAGAAACCCTGCGACGAAGAATATTTTACCGCGCAATTGTTTCAGAATTCGCGCGAGTTCAAATGAGGTAGATACGAAGACTGAAGAGGATATCGAAAATGACGTACAAGAGCAAGGAACTGCAGTAGCTAGTAAGATTTCAGTTGGAGCTACTTCAACCGGTCCTGCATTCGATAAAGATCTTAAAAAGGTTGAGTTAATTTCTTCACGCTTTTCAGTTTTTCAATAGGGTTTGTTTGATTTTTATTGGAATTTTAATTTGGGCGTGAATGGAATTGTTAATGAATTGATAGTAGTCATTTTTCTGATTATATTCTTGGTTCTGTTTAATTAGTTTTCATTTAGAAACTTGGAGAGTTGTTCTATCCAGGTAGAAGTTTTCATATGCTGTTCTCGATGATGTTGAATAAAGTTCCTTATAAAGGCTAGGATCAGCATAAATTTGTGTACTGGACGGATTCCTGAATTCCATCTTTTGACAGGTGGTTCAAAAAACTGCTGCTACTTTTGCTCCAAGAGCGTCGACTGCATCGAAAAATCCCGCCATACCTGGAACGGTTTTGTACTCTGTGTTTGAGGTTCAAGGGTATGTCTCTATGTTTTTGGGTGGAGTTCTGTCTTTCAATCTCATATTCCCATCAAATGAACCAGACATATGGAGACTAATGGGCATGTGGTCCATTTGGATGTTCAGTAAGCATTTCTTCATTTTACAACTCAAAGCTTCATAGCCTACATTCTAACGTTTCTGCAAAAGACTTATGGATGATTGGATGTTCTTTGATTATTTCAATGTTCCATATCAATTCTTAGATACATAAGGTCATATAACTTGAATTTCTTTAGAGTTCATAGATATCGGTTCTTATATAACCATAAGGATAATAGTTACAATAGATACATGTTACTAAACTTTATCTCATCTTTTTTTTCCTTATTGCTTATCTAATCAGAATTTATCATTTCCAAGGAAGTTGAGTATCTCTTAAACATTAGTTCTGAACCATATTTCACAAAGCATCTGAAATAACACTGGACATCTAGTTGGTGATTGTCCTTCATGGCAGATTCCTCTTAAAAGTATATAACTATTTCAATGTCTTCTAGTCCCTAGATTTGTTTTATTGTTTATACAGAACTATATGTGTATATTGATGAGGCTGATCCTTGCTGTTGCAGCTATTCCTTCCCTTCGTGCACGAGACTGCTCAAAGAATGAGAAAGAAGCTCTCAATTATCTCTTTCTCCTTATTCCATTGCTTAATGTCATAATTCCATTTTTCTGGAAATCATTTGCTGTTGTTTGGTCAGCAGATACTGTAGCCTTTTTCGGAATGTATGCTTGGAAGGTATGCATTTCATCACCACTTCACGTTGGGACCTGATTAAGTCTTCATCTAAACCAATAATTCCTCCTCCTTTTTCCCCTTTGGTACAGCTTGGATGGCTACCACAGAGCAAATAGTATATTATTGAGCATGAGGAGTTGGTTTCTTCCCTCTCGATCCATATGCAGACATACATCTCAAATATCATAGCTTATGGTTGATATAAAGTCATACTTTTAGCTTGTGTTGTAATCAAGCGACTTCTCTGGGATGGGTTGGTTAGAATTTTAGGCAAAGATAAATTAATTTCCCAAATGACAGAGTACGTGGGCGCCGTTTTCAATATATTATATACCCCTTGGTTGGTGGTTGTGATTGTTGCATTGTTGTAAAAATTTGCCTAATCCTTTTCTGCTGTCAATAAAAATTAATAAGTTGTGCTGAAATCCAAGTTGAAATGAAACTGATCTGTTTGTGTTTTGAAGTTCAAAATTCATAATTTGTTTTGGCCCAAATCTGACCATGCTCAAAAAGATAAAGATCAACGGGAGTCTAGTTCTGAATTAGAGATACAGAGGAAGATTTATTACAAATTCCTTAAAGCAAATGGCTGAGTTCTGATTCCAGAAATGTAGAGATGGTAACCGTCGAACATGCACTGTGATGCTATAGGGAATCAGTGCAAAGATGAGAAGATAAATCCCTTGTATGAAATGTGATTGATGAAGTCACTGGTAAGCCCCGGTAACTTTTGGTATTAAACGTTATTATTTTACATTTAATCAAATTTTCTCCAGCAACTGGGTCTATGCTATACTAACGACCTTCTCTATTCCTCTTTTTTCTGCTTAAAAAATCTCTGTTAGTCACAGGATTACATGATGTATTTGCTAGGTTTCATGAAGTTTCTGCCATTATATACTTACTTGATCCAGGATCAGGATTTACATAAATATTCTTGATTACAACAAGTGGAATAGAACTCAGTTGTGAAAAATGGTATTAGTCATTTGATCCTAATATCCCTACTACCTTTAGTCGACAAGCCAGATGCTTCTACGGTCTCCATTTCTTCTCAATATTCTTTGTTCGCTCATTAAGAAATACGACTCTGTTGAATTGTGATTCTTAGTCGTATAACATTGATATTGTAATGAATAACGGTCACGGGTTAATAATTGTTCAACTGGAATTTTGATGCGAAGGTGGAAGTACCAAGGGTCAAGTAATATCGGATTATATAAAGTAATGTATTAAATTAGAAAATAAATTAAATTTGAAAAATATGACTATATATTAGAACCCTTGTATCAAAATTTATGTTCGCCATTTTCTAGTGGATGCTAGTATTCGATATCCAATGTGGTCACCTCAGTAAATGCTACATGGAATAACTGTTATTTAATCGAGTAGATAACTTGAATATTCATAAAATTCTCCAAAAAGTCATTTTCACTTGAAAAAATATCATTTTCACTTGAAAAAATATCTGCCAAATAAACTTTTAGTTTCTTAATACTTTGGTAAAAGTATCATTATTTATACAAAACTATAAATATAAAAAAATTGAACTAAACTAAAATGCTATTAAAAGAAATTATTTGTTCTATATAAATAGTCATTGAACATCTTTGTTACCAAAGTTGGTAAATAATTGTGTCAACAAACTTCGGTATAACAGCGATCGAAGGTGTGTGTGTTTTTTTTTAATAAAATTTAGTTAGTATTATGTAATTTAAATGTTGTCTTAAAAAAAAAAAAAAAAATCTTTTCAAAAGTCAATTGTACTATTCTTTATATTCTATGACCTCGTTTGATACTCATCTTTCTAAGAATGAGAATGAAAAATATAATCGTTACGTGACCAACATAAGAGATAGAAAGTCAAATATGGTGGTTTGATGTGATGGATAACAATCATATTTTTCATTTTTATGGCCAAAGAAGGGGAATCAAATGGGGGCATAAATGTATATCCAACAATTTTTTGCAGAGTACTTACCTGTAGTGATATCCTAATTTGGCTACCTCCCCCACTTATTAAGGCATAATACAAGAAATTATTGCCAAGAGGGATCCAAGAACTCTTTGTCCCATCACCTACTAAAGGATTTGTTACCCGATTACTACACTTCTCAGGGCCGTTTGTGTAAGAGCTACCTCGCCGAGGCGATCCAACCGCTAGAAGTTCAAGTTCAATCCATTAGGTTTTTCGATTTGTTCAAAAAAGAAACGAGGGATGTTTGTCCAAAATAACTGTTAACTTTTAGAAGGAATAATTAGGGATAGCAATTTGAACCGTCAAAATCGAAAACCATAGTTAACCGAACTGAATGGGGCGAAAAAATCAAACCGATGGTGCAATGGGGCGGATATGGTTTTGATTTTAATGAACCGGTTCGTGGTGGTGCGGGTATGGTATTTACGCCGTCGAACCGAAACCGAACCGATTACCCGCTAAAAACACACACACACACACAATTGAATTAATTATTGGGCTTTACACTACTTTTCTATTCAGACCAAAACAAAATCCCCCTCATTAACCTGACTCAGCCGGTCAGCCAACTTACCATTAGCCCATAATAATAGCATTAGTATAAAAGTATATAAATGCAAACTCTACTCTCCACAAACCACAAACTCATGCACAGCTTCACTGCCTCCACGATCCAAGTCGTCGTCACCTCCGAAAATTTGTTACATTTGTTAGCCATTCTATTACTGTTGATCATATAAAAACAGAGTTCGATATTTTTCTAGACGTGTCAATATTGCCAAGGATGGATGGTTTTGATTTATTGATATAGTGGGAAGCAAATTCAATAAAATATCCGACTTTACAGAATGTTGCAAGAGATTTGTTAGCCATTCCAATATCTACTGTGACATCCGAGTCAACATTTAGTTCAACTGGTAGATTTGTGAGTCCATATAGAAATAGGCTTCACGCAAAGACTTTAGAAGCTTTCATGTGTGCATGGGATTAACTTTGAACTGATATTCATGTAGGATTTATTGTTTTATATTTGTTATTTATACACTTCCTTTTATTATTAATTTTTTTTATTGTGTGTAGAAAATTCTACTCCTTCATCATACTCTAGAGCTTGTATAATATTTAGCAAGAAGGAAGCTGACGAAGAGGTATATTTTTTTTTTATTTAAATCTTAGTTAAAACCATTCTGGAATAGGTAGTATCGTTGTATTTTCTACTTACAATTTTTATTTACTATATAGGAATCAACTATAAATGTTGATCTATGTTAGTAAGACTTATAGGGAATAATGAATCAAGTAACTTTGATGCACAACAATTAAGAATGAAGGAAAAAGTTAGTATTGTTATATTTATAATATTGTTTGTTAAATTTGTATTTTGCAACGGAAAATTGGGATAATGTTTGCATTTTCGTTTGGAATATTGTTTGAAAATGTTTGCATTTTCGTTTGGAATATTGTGTTTTTGTTTTCACTGACTTTTTTCATAAATTGTTTTATATCAATTTGACGAATGAACGTATAAAAAATAATTTATTTTCGTGGTTATTAAATGAGCCAAACCGTGCCGAACAGAACCAATTTACGTGGTTATGGTGCGGTTATGGTATGATCAAAAAATTGGTGGTGCGGTTATGATTTTAGCCGAACCGACTCATAATTGAACCGTTGCCAACCCTAGGAATAATAGTAATACAAGAAATATATAAATTTAAAATTTTTGAGAATAATATGTATTCGATTGAATCGAAAAGGTAGATTATTAATAATTTTTAGTTCATGTTTGATGGAGATCAAAATCAAATTTTTAATATATTTTAAAAAGTTTATGAAATGTGTAGTTGAAAAATTATAGTTCCCGTAAAATATGTAATTAAAATTAGGATTTGGTCATTTGTACCTGGAGTGTTACAATGCGTGGGACCCAACCCCCATGTGAGGGTTACGCTCCGCATACATATAGCAAAATCCTTAAAATTAATTGTTAACTTTAATTTATATTAACTTTCTTGATTTCTGTTTTACCTTCTGCAACTGGTGAAGCTTCCTACAGTTCGAAAGGCAAGTTCTTTTAACAAATGCCTTGAACCACAATTGTTATTGTGCTTTTTCTTTCATTCATTTATTCGAACACTTGCATTTCGTTAAGTTCATTATGTAACTGGGTGTAAAAATATTGTTCAAAGATCAATATCTTTTAGTGGGCCCTAAATGGGATAAACGGTGACCAATAATTTTGGGCATTTGGTTTTTTCCCATGCAATCGTAGAGTCATGAAAACTAGCCTGTTTCTCAACTTGATTTTTGGTGCCTTTTGGATAAAAAGTTCCATCTTTTCAGTATGTGGTGATGGAAAACTATAAATAGGTGATAGTTTTCCATATCAAATACAATTATACATAATATCATTTCATAAAATCAAAGAGAGATTATCAAATTTTAATATATATTCATTTCCAAAGTTTTCATTTGTTCAGTAGGAAGAAACACTTTTGCTTTGGTGTTCTTCATTAGGCTTGATCAATCCTTTGATTTCGAACTATTAGCCATTTGAATCCTTAAAAGTAATTGGAGAAGAGACAAATATCGATTGAGAACAATATTAAGAGCATTTTCAAAAGACTCTTTAAACAGAATACTTTTTATTTTAGATAGTCAATACTTAAAAATGAGCTTCAAAAGACTCTATTTTAACTTTTTGAAATAGAGTGTGTATTTGACTCTCTTAATTTAAAGAGTCAAATTTACTCTCTATTCTTAACGTACAATGTTTACATTTAATACATTACAAATCCCAATACTCTATAACTTAAAATTTTTAAATTACATTTGAAATTGATTGGTCATTATTATATAAAAAATTATACTTAAATAAAATATGTGGAGAAATTCTTAAATATTCATTGGAAAAAACAAAATAAAGAATCAAGGTAGAGAGCCTGTTGGAGTGTTTAAAAAAAAAAAAAAACTACTCTCTAAATTTAAAGATGCTCTCTATCATGCATAAGATGCTCTTTATAAAGAGTTTTTTTGGAGATACTCTAACTATGTGTTCAAGTATTGCCAATTACTTTACTTCTTTGCTGTTTCCATCTTCCTCCTTTTTTCTCCATTGTCGTCATTATATCCAACTCTGGGATGATTAGAAAGTGATTTTTGTTGGTGTGATGAAAGTAATTCAGTAATTGAGATGAATAGAAACTGAATTTGTTGCTCATTTATTTTATTAAATGCAGGAGTTCCGATTGTGAGAAATACAAGTGAACTTGCTCAGGATAATTATGGGAGACTTGGATTGTCACACATTACAATTGTTGGTTCCCTTTGGATCGAGCTATATAGCCCACGTGGGTGACCGTATAGTTGACATAATACACACACATGAGAGGTCGGGATTAGAAAGTGATTTTTGTTGGTGTGATGAAAGTTAATTCAGTAATTGAGATGAATAGAAACTGAATTTGTTGCTCATTTATTTTATTAAATGCATGAGTTCCGATTATGAGAAATACAAGTGAACTTGCTCATGATAATTATGGGACAGCTGAATTGTCACACATTACAATTGCTTGTTTCCTTTGGACCGAGCTATATAGCCCGCGTGGATGACCGCATAGTTGACATAATACACACACATGAGAGGTCGGGATTATTTTATTTATGGGGGATCCACATTGGCCATATAAGGATGCGGTCACCCGGAGTGTCAATGGCGCGGGTTGTTTGGCTTTTTCCGTTCCCTTTTACCTGGGTTTAAAGAGGAAAAAATTCAATCCTTAAGCATTGAATATTGTTACTTCCCTATTGTAACAGGTTGAAGTGTGGCTGAAAACATTTTCTCCGGGAGCTCATACGCCAATCCGCGGGCACTCGTGTGAGGAATTCTTTCTGGTACTTAAGGGAAGTGGCACTCCGTATCTTGCTTCTAATACACATAAAAAAAAAAAAAAAAAAAAACCCTAAAAGAGTTATAACATTTAATTATAATCTTGTATTTAGTTTAGTTAATTTAGGTCTTGCATTTATAAGTAGATTATTGTATCACAATTTAGTTAGAGAAAAGTCACTAATTTTTATAGTTTTGGTTAAGACGGAGTTAATTCGAATTTAAACTAGTATAATATGATACTTGGACTCAAAATCCATTTCACTATTTGTTAACAAAACGTACACTTGCGGTATTTTTGATTGAATATATTAAATTTGAAAAATTAGGATGAGGTGTTAACGATTAATTGGAGGGACAATTGCGTGGACAGAATGTTGGAAATGGTAGATCTTCTACATTAAGGACAGTAATGCAATAAAGGCAAAAGGTTGGAGACCCAAATAGTCAGTTTCAAAGGTTGAGGACCTAATTCTCTTCCGTGCATAGGTGAGGGGCCTTTAAAAATTGCCCAGCATACAAGCAAATGACAATTTTGCACACTCGGGAACCACATTTGACTGATTTGTTTTACTTTTATTCTTTCAAAATTTAAAAACAAAAACAAATAATAAAAATAATACAAGAACAATTGTTCTACGTGAATTTTGCCAAATTTACACTTGGCGGAATTTCATTAGCGACGAAAAACAATTTTAATTCGTCAAATCACGTGCTGGCAGAATCCGTAAATACTTAGGGTGGAAAGGAGATGGATGCCTGACTGCTGTGAGAATAATCAATCCATCCAGTTGCAGAGGCTGAGCAAATTGTGGCAAATAAACATGGGCTTCTTTCACTACTTGGTTTTCTTGATTGCACTTTTGTTTTTCGCCACTGTTGAAGTTAATTCCCATGGTAAGTCATCGACCTTTATACGTATTGAATCGCTCGATTTTAGATATCGAGTTTTGGGCTTCCTAAAAGGTCAACCGTATGCTTTTACCTTTAACAATTTACATAATTAAGAACATTAGTTTGTTGTTAATCTGTGAATTTGAGATTGAAATGCAGGGGTTCCAATAGTTAGGAATATAAATGAACTTGCTCAGGATAGTTATGGAATTCCTGGTTTGTCACACATTACTGTTGCTGGTTCAGTTTTACACGGTTTTAAAGAGGTAAACAAATTCCAACCCTTAAGCCATGAACAAGGATCTCAAATTTTATTTATTTATTATTTGTTCTTGAACTATCAGTAATTGTAGTTACTTTCCTAATTCCTATTGTGACAGGTTGAAGTGTGGCTAGAGACATTTGCTCCCGGAGCTGCCACGCCGATCCACAGGCACTCATGCGAGGAAGTCTTTGTGGTGCTTAAGGGAACTGGCACTCTATATCTTGCCTCGAATTCAGATCCAAAACACCCCGGGAGCCCGCAGGAGTTTCCAATCTTATCCAACAGTACCTTTCATATTCCTGTCAATGATGTTCATCAGGTAGTGTTTCATTTTAGCTCTGATACATAAAGGGAAAATCGATGAGCTTTTGCTTATGGGTTAATCTGATGCATAAAGCGAAAAAGAGCGGAAAATGAATGGTTATTTACCTGTTCTATTGGAATTAGGCGCTGCAAGCTGATAAAGAAGGAATGACACAAAGGAAAGTAGTTCGAAAGGATAACAAATGAATCAAGAAACATTTATAAATACAACAGGAACATTTCAAAAGGCATTGATTACCTTGAAGGATGGCATTGGAAATTACAAGTCACTAGGTAGTTCAGTGGAAGGAATATCTGTTGCATCATAAATATATACCATCTAAATTAAAGAAACTTCTGAGTAGCGAACAAGGGCGGTAACATGAGAGATTTTCAGATAAAGAATATAACAGTTTTCCCTGGAACGGACATGGTCTGGTTCTTGCAAGATTCCAACCAGACAGGCAATGATTCGGCTTTGCACATAGAGAACTGGCCAGTTTATAGTGAAAGAGCAAAGCCGACCACAGTTCATCATTTTCTGGACTTGAGGCTTAAAAATTGGACTACATTAGGTATGTTAGGATATTGTTTATTAAATTTTTAATTCATTCAAACTAATAAGAAAATAAAATTTGAAATTGGTCCAGTTATCCATTTCATTGCTATAAATACATAATACTCTTTCATATGCATATCTTCCATTCATGTGCCATATCTGATTTATCCATGAGTTTCGCAGCACCAGATTCATAGGCTGGATGCTTAAAGAAAAAGTCTGATCTATAATATAATTATACTAGACATTACAGTTAAAAGTACATAACATCACATGAAAACGGTTCATAGCTTGTTGCATCAGAGTAGTATAATGGTTACATAATATGTTTAGTGGATTTGATACTCAACGTGGTTTTTACTTTTTCTGAGAATTAATAAAATGATTTCATAGATTCTTCATCCCTTTGAAAAGAGACCAACAATTAGTTATTCTACGTCGTCTTTTTGGTTTTTTGTATTTTATGCTTGATCTTAAGTATTCATTTTCCCCTGAATAAAACATGCTTGGTTTTTCCCTTTGTGTTTGTCCTTTGGGAAGTGCTACATGTACATAATTGTCTACATAATGGTGTCCATAATTACACGTGGCATTGGATCCCACCTTTAATTCAAATCTCACACTTGCACATCAACAACCGGATGATTGTTACATCACATTATTGACATCATTATGTACAATAATTATGTACAAATAGAATTTTCCTTGTCCTTTTGTATCTACTGCACTATCACAGTCCCCTCCTCTTTGACTAAATGTCCCAAAATCTCCACATGTTGTGTTTCTCACGGTAGAATAGAGAAAGTGAGAACCTCTTTTATGTTCAGTTTGTCTAATAATTAAAGCATTTCCAAAGATGACCTTTGCAATCTTGGAGATTTTTTTCTAAAAGCCATTTTGCATTTTAGATAATCTTCTTCTTACGTAGGGATAAAGTCTGCAAACATTTTTGATTGATAAGACATCGAAGAGCTGATTATGAGATATCCATGCAGCTCGACTGATTTATTGACTTGAACACTTTTCTGCTTGCTTCTTTCTATTTGTTAAAAATATGTATAGATGTTCAATGATAAAGATAAATGCTATAGAATACTAATAGAGTTTGTTTATTGTCTAGAATTTCATTCGGGATTTGTTGTTGTTCCCATCACAGGTCTGGAATACTAATGAAAGTGAGGATCTACAGGTGTTAGTGATCATATCTCGACCTCCAATCAAAGCGTAAGTTATTTATTCCCAGATTGCTATCAATGCATTTTACTTGGGTTTTTAGGGTATTTGGCGTCAAGGGTACTTGCTCATTGGTTTCAGGTTCATATATGATGATTGGCTCATGCCACATACTGCAGCCAAATTGAAGTTCCCTATTTTTTGGGATGAATACCAGACACAACCAGTGAAAGATGAGCTTTAAAGGTTAGAAGGTTGATTTACCATCATGCCTGAATAATGCCATACCCACGTGAAAGATTGCGACTGTAACAAAATCTATGTTTTGGAATTCTTTGCATCTTTTCTCGAGAACTAGTTGTGGTAAATGTGCCTTGTATGTTATTTTTCAAGAGTTTTTAAAGTATTGTAGGAACGTTATTTTGAGATGTTATGTTAAGACTGATTGATGATTATATTGCTTATACAAGATATATTGTCACGAGAAAAACTGTGATTTGACTAAAACTTACGTTATTTAAATCCAAATTCTCCTGTAACCAGGTTGTTCATGAGACAATAGATGTTGAATTTATATTCTAAAATTAGTCATCATGTGTCCATGTGTTCATTAATCATTATTGAAATGAAAGCTTAGAATTTGAAGGTAGTAGAACATGAAAAATTACTAAGGTCCGGAGAAAGCTACAATCAAGAGGATTTCCCTAATCCTTTCTTTCAAAAAGGAAGAGCGGGAAATTCTATTTCGTTTCCACATGGACTAGGAAATTGAATCTACTGTTTCAATATTTACCATGTTGAATCCTTTGTATAGATGTTGTGGCGGGCGAAGGCTAAGATGGAATAGACCCGCTAATATGCCTAATGTCCCTGTTCCATGAACAAAAGGATCAAAACCTTCCACGCCCGACATCAGATTTACAAGTATTTTTCCCGTTAGTCCATAAGGATCGGGGACAAATGCCTACGAAAAGATCACTCGAATTTAAGAAAATGTCACTTGGATTTATCCATGGTTTTTGGTGTTTTTTAAAGTCACTTGTTTTGTTTTCCAATGACTGACTGAAACATATCAATGTAAGTTACTGTGTGATAGTAGTTGTCAATATTTCAACTTATGTTCATTAGTCAAAAGGCTCGATGTTAGCTAAAAGAAAGAAAAGAAGTACAATATGATTACAAGCAAATTCTTATAATTTTCTTTCAAATTTCCAATAATTTCTGATTGAAGCATATGGAAGAATACGATATTTGATCTAAACTGCACCTGCCTCTCTTTGAGAAAAAAAATCAATAAAAAAAAAATACAAAATCAAGAATTTATAATCCCATCAACATCCATCAAAACAATTATTATTCATCAAATATAATCACAAAACTGAATAGACTTCCCAAAGTAAACAAAGAAATTAAAAATAAAACACGAATTCTACCTATACCAGAAGCTTAGCGAGAATTTGGGGCAAAATAAAACGCCCGAGCAAGAGATGAAGGAGCTTACACCAGGGATACCTGATGTAAGTTGGGATAGCTGGATATCAAAAAATAATAATAATAAATAAATAAATAATGTTGGAAGCTTTTGGATTCACTGACGCCCAGTTACCAGCCGAATGGAGCGATATCTCAATTTTGCAGAAATCGTCAGTCATAAAATGACATAAGATTATTTTGAGAAATTGAGGAAATGTTTTTGGTTATGTTATGATTCATCCGGGAAGGAAATGTCATAGCCAAATAATTGTGCAATGATGCATTTTAAGTTCAAACTATGCAAGCAGCTGAACATTCTAAGTTCTAACCTACTATAAACCAGGCCCACAGCTTGAAACTGGGCACCAGTATTTTACCATATCACATTGCCACCGGACTTCTTGAAAAAGATACAGAAACAGGGGGAAAAAAATGAAGATAACGAATTTATGTAACCAATTTGAAATATATTTGCCAAATAAAGTACACACGATGAATCTTCAAGTGATATTTTTTGCCACATGGAATTACCAACCACACCAACTCTCATTCTATGTCACAACGTGTAATAACCAAACAGGCAGAAGACTTCCTATTGATGCATTTTTACGCAGCAGATGGAGAGAAGTACATTGTAAGAGTGTATAAAACCTTGTAAAGTAAATAAAATCACAGAATGATCATCTCCTTTTTCCCAATGAGCTTCGACGTTCAACTTCTTTCTCAGCAACTAGTACATAAAACTCTGGCCCCAGCATCTCGTGTATATCCAGATTCAAAGACGTGCTCAGATTTATGATTGCCATTATTACTTCCACAGTAATCATGAAGCCTAAAGTAGAGAGTACTCGGATGGCATTTGCAGTCCTGCATATGTTTTGCCTAGTTTCAAGTTGAGTACGAGTCTCCACTTCATCAGTGCTCATTGGATTTTCTGAATCAGCATTTTGTTGATCAGATTTGTTTGATTGATCCTCTATCAACATGGGATCTTTCACTTCAATGTGTTCACCAACCCAAATATAACCATTGCAACCAAGAATCAAGTCAATTCCATATTGTTCCAAATGGTGGAAATGCTGCTTGCGCTTCTTCACCAGATAGGGGGGAATTGTAAGTAATTGACCTCTTTCAAGCTGTAAAGTGAGAAAAAAAATGATGTTGATTAGTCTCAAATTGCTCATGATAGGTTAATCTCTTTGTCGAACATATAAATAAATTCATGTATAAATTTCTTGACATGCATAAGCTCTTACACCGAACACAAGGGCTCCTTCTCTTGCTTCTAAAGGTAATAGATCCTGTACAGTTTGAGAGAGATGTCCAAAATGAAATGCCATATACGCACCTTTCCATACTTCTGGCTTCTTGCTTGCAGGTGTAGACAACCATCATGCTGGAAACCACGTACTTCAGCCTGCATCAATACATTCATTATTAGCAACTTTCTTTCCTTTGCCCCCCTTGGATCAAGGAAGTCAAGTATACTCCACTAGGAACTTTAAATAATGGTAGATGCAGGGTATGATTGAGAAAGGGCTGAGTCAGTACGCCTGATGCAATTTGCAGGCATTAAGAGCATAAGAAACTATAACAACCTTCTATTGACCAACCAAAAGGATGGACTGCAAACAGAATGGTCAACAAATGAGAAGAGACGAGTAGCTTACACAAATGACATCGTTTTCTTCAAATATACTGCGCATATTAAGCTCATCAACTCCAGTTCGTCGCCTCTGAAAACCAAAAGCACGAGATTAATTAGAGCAGAAACCATTTTAGAATACATATTACTTTATCCAACCTCAATATATAAACCCATGATAATGAATTTCAAGAATGAGATATGGAATCAAGCATCCCCATTTGTATTAAATAAGAATGCTTTCAGTCGCCCAGCAACAGTAACAGCAACTTTAGTTCAAAGCGCAACCATTAGAATAGTGGAGCATACACAGAAGATTCACACAGTAGGTAGATCTGCAATTCCCATCTTAACCACATCTAACAAATAATTCAACTGTAACCCCAGGATTAGGTCTTAAACTGAAATTTCACTAATCCAGGTGCTAGCCTTGCTCTATATTCCCAGGATCATCCATATAAATCCAATACCAACATGCATTGTATCATCCAAACAATGATTAACATCTTATAAACCTCTAGGCAATAGTTAAGAGAACCTAAAAATAACAAGAGAGAAGCCGTTGAGCAAACTAAATGAACTTAAATGTGCGAAGCATATATCACATACGGAAATCATATAGCCATATTCTAGCTCCACGAAAAAAATTTGGAAGTAAAATTGGCTAAACAAGAGGGGTAAGCTCATCTACTTTCAATTTCTAACTTGGAAACGCACACATGGATGCTAAGTTAGGAAGTAACTAACTTTCACAGAAATCCATATAGTCTACTAACTATGGTCTTTGATACTTCTTCACAGGCTGTCCACTACAGTTAAAATCGCAAGGTTTACGAAAGCTACCTGAATACCATCCGGTAAGTTCATGGAAGAAAGCATCAAAACTGCATCCTGGCTGTAGTTGATCTCCAATCTCCAGCGCTTTGGAGCAACCTGGACATAAAGAGAGAAACTCAAGTTTTAAAGTTTGCAAATAACACAGCACTATAAATCTTTGC